AAAAAAAAAAAAAAAAAAGAAAAAGAAAAAAGAGGGCAGCACCTATGGCTCAAAAGGGTAGGGCACCGGTCCCATATGCCAGAGGTGATGGGTTCAAACCCAGCCCTGGCCAAAAATGGCAAAAAAAACAAAAAAACAAAAAACAAAAAAAAGCTGATAGAGCTGTATTAATATCAAGTGAAGTGAACTTTAAGAAAAAGCATTACTAGAGACAAAAAAGGGTTACTAATAATACAAGAACGAATTGTGAGTAAACAAATTGGTGAATATGTAGCAAATGTAAATATACATTGTCTATTAAATAACAATTCCTAGTTTGCAGTATTTTTTGAAGACAAAAATAAAATACTAAACAAAACAGCATGTAACTTTTGGTCTTTGTGTCAATCAGGAGGAGTTTTTAAATTACCTGGATTTTTAAAACTTCTGTGTGATGTTAAAATTTCAAGCGTTACTTCTAGAATAATAGAACTAGTGTACACAGCATCCTGATCCGCAGAGGGGGAGAATGGTATCAGAGGGTGAGAAATAAGAGAAGTGAGGGGAAAGATCAGACCAATGGATTAATGTTTTGAACAGATATACACAGACTGCAGTCGCCTGTTAAAAGAGATTGTTAGTTTGGACAAAAATTAAAAATTCAGCTATATGTTATTTATTTATTTATTTGAGACTGAATCTCACTAAGTCACAGTAGAGTGTCGTGGTGTCACAGCTCGCAGCAACCTCAAACTCTTGGGCTCAAGCAATTCTCTTGCCTCAGCCTCCCAAATAGCTGGGAATATAGCTACTACAGCCACAGTGCTCAGCTATTTTTTAGTTGCAGTTGTCATTTTAGCAGGCCCAGGCCGGGCTTGAACCCACCAGCCTCAGTGTATGTGGCCGGCACCCTACTCACTGAGCTATGGGCGCTGAGCCAGCTATACACTATTTAGAAGAGATGTATTAAGACATAGGACTGTGTTCATTTGAAAATAAAGGGATAGAAAAACATTTATCAGGCACATACTAAGTGAAGGAAAACTTAAGTGCCTGTATGGTTGTGAAACTTCAAGTCAACAGAATTATAGAGACTAAAGTTCACAATGATAAAATCAATGATGAAAGTTCATTTCATCAGAAAGATGCAAGAATTTTATTTTAAATTTGTATGACAAATGTTTTCCAAATATAGAAAGATTCCTAGGACTCTAAGAAGAATTGGGTGAAGTCACTGAATCACAGCTCTCCTAACTATTGATAAGCCAAATAAACAGAAAATTAGTTAAGATAGAGAAGATTGAAGTATGAGGTTAACAAGCTTGCTTTGTTGAACAGGTATGGAATACAGTGCCTAACAAAGAATACAACTTTGTATTGTAGTATACTCTTAAGCATGTATGTATACTCTTAAGCATACAACTTGCACTTATAATAATTTACCGCACACTAAGCCACACAGCAGGTCTCTGCAGATTTCAAAGGACTGAGTATATACTGAGCTTATTCTGTGATTACAAGGATAATTTAATTACAAGTTAATAAGAAAGTATTAACTTAAAAAAGCATAGTTTGAAAATCTAAACACACTTTAAAAATAGTTGATGGGGCCAGGTGTGGTGGCTCAGTCCTGTAATCCCAGTGTTATGGGAGGCCGAGGCGGGAAGTTCACTCGAGGTCAGGAGTTCTAGATTACAGTGAGCTATGATCATGCACTGCAGCCTGGGGAAGAGAGTAAGACCCTGTTTAAAAATAAATAAATAAAGTTCATGGGTCAAGACAAAATCATCGTAGAAATCCCAAAATGCTGCAAACTGAGTGCTTCAAAGAGAGAGAGGACGTATTGAAAATTAAACGCTATAATGAAGCTTATTTTAGAAAAGAAGGCGGGAAATTAGTGATAAACACAAATTAAGGAGAAAACAACAGACAAAACCTGGTGAAAATAGAAGAAAGAACATAGATAAGGACTAAGTGCCCCGAGATGGGTCCATCCTGAATACGTGATGTGGATGGAAAGGGGTCATTGTCAGAGACCTCAGGAGAACAGCACTTATATGTAGGTAAAAATTGAGCAAAACGAAACCATATGTTATTGAAGAATATACATACATGTGTGATAAAACTA